TTTCTTTTGTTTCTTTCCAATGCTAACTACTTTTAGGGTTTTTCTGGCATCTGAGATTGCTAGGAAACAGATAGATAGCCCATTATGGTTTCTTTTGGAAGGACAAAAGTTGTAATTATCCAAAAATCACAATGTTAACCCACATTATCATTTCCTGATGTCAGTGATGTTGCTCATAGTCCAAATACAGGAAAACAGATATTCCTCCTTCAGTTGAGGAAGAGTTTTGTTTTGGAAGATATGAGAGGTCAAGGTTATGAAAAACATACAACTTCATTTAAATCTGAATCTGATTTTTATCTCTGGGTATGGGAACCATTCTGATACTGAGAAAAATGATATTAAGAGCAGCAGTAAGCTGAAGAGATAAGAATGAACTACTTAAACTTTGATATTTGTCACTGAATGCAAATTTTTCTTGTAGGCAATAGCATTATGTATTTGGTTGACTACAGGGTACACGTTTATGGTGTACTGAAAGTTTAGGACTTATGGAGCTTTCCAGTGATATGGGTCCAAAGGTAATTCGTTTGTTTTGGGAGCATGTAAAGGACATTGCCCTGGCCCTTTACCAATGACTCCTTTTCTACTTTCTCTCTTAAGCTTTAATGTATATTTTAAGCTTTTTGGGGCCAGAAATAATCGTTTTGCTACAATGTGAACCACACCCAGTGCAGTGAAGTCCTGCTCCACATCTAGGCTGCAGCCATCACAACCAATAACCTCCACAGTAGTGACGGCTCACAGTAGTGACGGCTCACCCCAGCTGACTAGTAAAATCTGGGCCAAACTAAAGGAAGTAGAGTGAGGGTGTGGCAGGGAGAAAAAAGGATGTTGCTCTGCACTGGGAGGCTGAACAACTCATTAGGTCTCACCTGGTCTCATTAGAATCCCACTTGGCTCATCTCTTAAGGTAGAATATGAGGAGAGGAGTAAAAATAAACAACATAAAAGTACAGTGTGATCCAAGCAGTACAAGATGATGAGAGCAGAGTGGAGAATGGGAGTGGAACCTGGAAGGAAGAACTGTTCAAATGCTGATTTTAACTGTTGTCCACTTGATATCCCTGTGAGATGGGATAAAGGGGATAAAGTACTTGAGAGTCACATGACGGCTAGGTATGGGATGCTGTTGAATGTAACACCTTCCTCCAGTTTCACATTTTGAAACGTATTCACCTTCCTGTGCAATGCTGCACTCAGAACTAAGTGGGGCTTTTCAGTCAGAGTATGTTTGTCTATGTCTAAACAGGGCTTGAATTTAAACTGCAGTACATGAAAGAAGTCTCCATATTTGCATGGTGCTAGCAGCCTTACAGCACATCATCTACAACACCATTTGATATCATAAGAGGTTCTGTATTTTCATTTGATGCTGTCGTTTTCAGAACAGGCTGACCAGAAACGCATGCTTCAGAAAGGTTTTGTGACTGCACGCTACTCAGTGCTGCTGTGTCGCAGCAAGAGAGTGCCCAACTGAAGCAGCTCCATCTGTGGTGCTCAAGGCTGTAGGGCTGTCCCCTGCTGGTAGGGCTGATGCACCTTCCACGTTTTCTTTTTATTTTTTAAGCTTTTACTTTGTAATGTTTTAAAGTTGTGGATAGCTACCTCTGTGGTCAAAGTGTATGATGATGAGGGATGTCCTTCTAGATGCTGAACAGTCTGTCCATGCTCTAGCAAGTGTTTAAAAGAACATTTTAGGTGAGAGTGTCGTAATAGTCTCAAAGGAGTCAAACCAAACACCTAAGGAAGCATTCATTGTTCCTGTTTTGGCACTTAGGTAGATTGGGACAAAATAAGGTGCTTCTCTTCAGATGTTTTATACCCCAGGTAGCCACAGTGGTATTTGGTTGACCAAAGATCCATGGTGCAGATACCTCTTGTGATCTGGTGAGCCTGGGCTTGCCAGCATAAAGATTTTGAATGTGATTTCAAATGAATCATGCTCTAAAAGTGTCTATATTTTTCTCTCTTAGCTATAGAGGCAGCCAAGAGTGACTAGCTCACAGACAAAATAGATGTCCACACTGTAAAAAACTACAATGATCTGGGATTCAGCCCTCCTTTAAAATGTAGCAGTGCCTTCTGCTCACCATCTTGCCCAGTGACAGCAGTGCGAAGATGGGGAGCCCACACTTTATCTCAGTGCTGTTGTTGTTATGGTAAAGGGCATCAGGAAACTCTCTACTGGATAGGGCTTCCTGGGAAGGAGTTATAAAATCAGCTGTAAAATCTGTTCCCTCCATGATGAGGTAAATTATGAGAATAAGGAAGACAATTATTCTGGCATTGTGCTAGTAGGCAACTGGCAATCCCATCAAACCGCAGCACTTTGATAGGCATTAGGAAACATGAGGAGGGTAGAGGCACCAGGTTCACTTCAAGGTTGAATAGCCCAGGCAATGCTGAGCAGGGCTGGATTTGACAGAGATGCAATAACTCCATTCCAAGGGCTCTGTGTTGAGTTTTGGATAATTATGGTTTCGGTAATTAGGACACATTTCTGATGACTGCAGAGGGAATTCTGTAATGAGCACCGCTCCCCCAATTTCCTTTGACTGTACTTCTCCAGTTTCCAATATATGAAAAACAGTAAAAAGAGGAGAAGGAACAGCTGCACATATAGGCACACTTTGTCAATACCACTGTGAGGCACCAATATGCGATATACTTTTTTTTAGTTACCAGAATGCAAATCCTATTGAAGATGCATTTTTTTCAGTATAAAAATACTTCTACCAATATAATTGTTCCCCTTTTTATACAATAGTAATTCTGAAGGCATAAAGTCAGTTAATTTCAGTGTATTCAGTCCACATTAAGACATTTGTATAGCTTTAAAAATATAAAAATCCTTAAAGCAGTACAAATTCTTGCTTTAGATAAGCCCAGAGATCTTTGCTTACCGTGAGGAGGCATGAATACTTTTTCTGTACTCTTTAATCATAGGCTTCAAATTATTTTGTTCATGTAATAAACATTAACAAAAATTATTTATACTTAAGTAAATGGAAAAGCTAGTCCCAAACTGCTGTCTCTCACAAGAACAGCAGGGATATGTCTTCTAATTTACTGAACACCATAATCTCATATTACAGGTTTGCTGTAAATTCATTCTAGTTTAGAAGTCTTGGATGCCAATTCAGCTATAACATCTTTTCACTAAAAAAGTGAGAGAAAAAATGTCATGTTAACAGTTAATAGAGTTCAAATTTAATATCTTTGGTCCCATTCCCATGCCAGTGCTGGTCATACACTCACATGTTTTGCAGGGTCAAGGAGACAGTTTGTGAATGGCAGTGGATATAACGAACAGTTCTTAGAACAAATGAGTCTTGACACATTGACCTCAAGCTGAATTTCAGCTTTCCTAGATCAGCAAAATTCTGTGTAGCTTGTTCGTAGAACTATCTTGAAGTTCAGTTACTGGTGAAAAGTATTCACATTCCTTCTGACCTATTTGTCCATAAGTATTGAGATGGGCTTTCCAGTTTTTACCACATATGAAATGCATGAGAAATCATTCACCTATGAAAAACAGTCATCTCTTTAATGAAACATGGCAGCTTGCTAGAGCACAGTATAATGTTCTGTATAAGCATAAAAGAAGAGCAAATAACTGATTCTGAGTTAAATACATAGGGAATTTTAAGTCAGTGGAAGGTAATTACCCAAAAATGAACTTGGCCCGTATGTACAGGCTAACATCTGTATCATTGCAAAATAAATGCCACAGATGTTTTAATAATAAATAACAGATGTGGTCAGTGCCTGGGTTTCAGATCTCATCTAAAAAATGTTCCTCTTATAGGTGACTATTTCCCCCCTTCCTTCCCCAGTCCCACACAGAGCACTTGCTTGTTACCAGTTCAGACTGCAGGCTGCTACACACCTCATCACCAGCATCCTATACTTGCTTTTAAGAGCTGGCATTTTATTTGTGAGAGCTAGCACTGCAGCCCTTTATTTGCAAGTCAAAAAGTACAGTCAGCTGCATGACCAGAGTACAGCTGAGGGCACTAGCCCAGTGCAATGCAGCCATTTACAGAGATAACCTTTTAATTGAGTTGGAGGCAATACTTTTCAGCAGATCTGGTGAGTCAGTGGAAATAAATTCTCAATGCCTTGATAAAGGCACAAACACAGATGTTCAGAAAGCAGCAGCCAAAGAAACCAGTATTGTTATGGGGTGCTGTGCAAAAGTTTCTTTTAAACAGGTATTTTTTAAGTGAATAATGACTTTAAACTGAAGGGGTTGGCATTTTTAGGGAGCATTCTCCCGTGGAAGTGGAGAATGGTCATGTACATGATGCAGGTGGGAAATGCCATGACCATGCCAATGCTGCTGCACAGATACAGCACTGAAACTGGACTCGAAGCCACTTTGGCTGACTTGGGCATGACCCAAATGGTAGTTGGGATGGGAAACAGCAGATGCATCCTGCACTTTGCAGCACATTGAATGTTGTCTTTGCCTGTTGTGTGGACGGGCCCCTCTATTTAGGGTAGCTTCCTACCTGCCCCTGCAGTGCTGTCTCATGGCTGGCACCAGAGTTTTGGCACCCAAAGTGGCTTGCTGCAAAGGCATGTGGGTTGTGCTCACCAGCTGAGCTCATTCAGGTTGTCTATAGGGGTGACCCAGGGTTCATGCTGGCATGGCTGGCCAGCTCAGGCACAGCAGCAATGCGATACATGTCTGCCAGGTTCCCTGGGGACCAGGGATACAGTAAAGTCTGCATTTGTCAAATAGCTCTGAGGGCTGTGATGGAAAACGTGATGAAATGGTATGTCCCCTTCACAATTTGTATGGGCATAAATTCCGCAGTTCAATCTGATGCTGGGAACTGTTAAAGCCCAGGACATCTCTGTGCATTCCTGTTGTCCCAGGTACTCTCGGCTGTCCTCGGTAATGTGCTACCTTTTTGTACAAGCACTCCATGTGCTGCACTGGGGAGAGGTTGTAAAGGTATGAGCTTTCTGACTTCCCCCTTTCCTTCCAGAGGACATCTCTGTCAGCATTGGAGCGGTCAGAACAGCAGATCAGGAGAGCATCCAGCCTGGAGGAGCTGCTTCGCATCACTCACTCTGAGGACTGGAAGCTGTGGAAATGCAGGCTAAAACTCAAGAGTCTGGCCAATTTAGACTCCCGCTCTGCATCACATCGCTCCACCAGATTTGCTGCTGCTTTCTATGATATTGATACACTGAAAGGTAGGTGCAGGTTTGTGGCTGAGCCTGATCTTGGCTTCAGGACCACTGCTTCTTATGCAGTAAAGGGTTAAGTATCAGGGGTTTCCTAGAATACATCTGTATGGGAAACAACAGGGCATTCACAGAAAATGACTTTGTATGAAAAAATGTCAGCCAACAGCCTTAATACGCCTCCCTGTTTTGTGGTCAAATCAGGCTTATTGTTGTCTGTATGCTCTCCAAATGGAAGATGTATTACATATGGATTTATCAGGCCACAGAAAGGAAGGAAGTCAACGTGCAAAGAACAGGTTGGAATGACTGGCCAAGGGGCTGTCCAGCAGCATTGTGCAAAATCTCAGAATGTGCTTGCAGACAGAAACAAACAAGCTTTACTGCAGGCATAGAAATTCTTTTTTTTTTTATTAGGTGTGCTCTGATATAAGGCACTGCATCAGCAGCAGTGTCTGCGTGGGAATTGCAGTGGAACGAGGTATTGCCCTAATATCAATCTATTGGAGGAAGTCTCTTCAGAGAGAAGAAGTAGATCTTGAAAGAAATACCTGAATGCGGGGAATCACAATCTATTCCCTCACCTGCAGCAAAAATGAATATTGTTCCTTGTAGGTGAGAGACTCAAGAGGCTTTATATGTTCATTGATGTAAAATAAAGCATCAGTTACTATACTTTGGTCTAGGAAATGGATATCCTACAGCAAAACTACACTGTAGCCTAACAAAGGACAGACTGAGCTATTCTTTTTGTTCAGTCTGTACCCTGAAGTGATCATATCACTTTCCTTTGGGGAAATCAGATATTGCTGATCCTGTTCCTGCCACATTTGCACATCATTACTCAGCCAAATTATGACTGAGCAAAGGCCTTAATTTGCTTCTCTGAACCACAGCACAGAAATGCAGACATGTGTGCCAGTCTGAAAAGTGTTTTCATATGACAGGCATGATTTCAAACTTCTCATAGAAATTTTGTAGAGAAAAAAGCTAAATCCAACACACACTGAAAAAACAATTAAGAGGGCTTTAATTAATGACAAACATTTTGTTTACATACCTTTACAAGTCTACATAGAAACATTAACAACCCATAGAGTTATTGAAAGTAGTACCCAGTGTCAAATGCTGTAATTCTGTATTCAGTATTGCTCATTTAGCGATCACCAGCATTTATGGAAAATGAAAATACTCCTCTTGCCAAAACAGCAAGACAACTGAGGACATTATCAAGTGTTACTGAGGCAGTGTATATTGCAATGGGCTTTTTTCAGTGGCAGAATAATGTAATTGGTCAGGTAATAGTTAGATTACTGTAGCCATATACATGTAATTGTCCACTTGGAACTGCTGTTAGGTTGCTTCCTACTTTCCCTTTAAAAGTCTAACACTAGATAGCAATAAGTCAGCTTTCTCATTCAAAGTTAAGCCACTGAAATTTAAGTTTAAAAAAGTCTATTGGGTCATCTTCTCCATTCTTTCATCCAAACAGGAATTATCCCAGGACAGAAACAACTTTTGTTCTAATAGCTTAATATGTTCAAGGTACTAAAACTCTTTTTGAAAAACCCAGCCTACAAACATGTATTTCTTTCCCACACCCATTCCAGTCATTAAGCATTGACCTTTTTTTGCGAAGGGCAACGATTTTCTTTTAATAAAGTGTTTTGATGAGAAGGCTGAGTCAAGACTCCTCCTTATTTCACTGCTAGACCATCTTCCACAGCACCCAAACTCCAGCAGGGCGAATTCAGGACTTTGTTCCTCCTCTCTAGAGCTTTAACCATGAATTCACTGAAATTCCTCATCTAACCCCAGCTCCACCAAGGAGCTCAGCTCACCCAGGACTGCAGCGCTTTCAAGCTGGAGTCTGTATTGGAGCCAAATTTCTCAGCAGCTGCCCTGTGCTTGCTCACAGAAAAGATCAGGGTGCTTCTGAACAACATGTGACACCCATTTCTTAGACAGCAGCTTCCTCTGACAGCCCTTCTGCTAAAGAAATGGTTAATAAAGTGAGGATGTCTGCAGTTGGAAAGGTCAGCGCCACTCACACTCATTGAAGTGACATCTGAAGTGATTACACGCACATACCTTAATGAGTTTGGCAAACACTTTATTTTCTATTTTAAGGCCTAGGATTAGATTGCTGTTTTGTTAGACTAACATTACCCTAGAAAATTCTATTGATTTTGGTGATTCTTCTCTTTGTTTATCCTTTAAAATCAGTATTCAGATGCCAAGTACTTTTTGCATGCCTGGAAAGTGTAGTGAATTAACCCTGGGGAAGGACTATGCAGGAATAAACAAAATGATTTAACTATACATGGTCAGCTGAAGAAAAAGTTAAAAATAATAAAAGGAAAGCTGTGTAGGAAAAAGAGAAATAAATGCTCACCTGAAGACAAAGTATAGCATGTAGATTAAAAGTATTCCAGAAATTTTATTTTCATTATTATGCATTTTCATTAATGCTCTATTCCTTCTCACAGTCAGAATTTGTCAGATGAGTCTAAAATAAATTACTAATAGACAACCATTCAGTATTTGAAAGATGTCACAGTGTTTTGAATAGATAAATCATGCTTGAGTTCATATTCCTGTTATTCAAACTTGAACCCCCTGAGGGTACTGAGGTGTGAGAGTGTTTGTCTTGGATTTCATTAGACATTTTGGAAATGGTGCTCACTGGCTGACATCCAGTGGGAGTATTAATACCCTCTGACCAGAATCTGTTAATCATTAAAGTGCTTTTGCAGTCAGGCCCAGGCTCTACTGAGTCCACAGCGGGGTACATGCGAAGAGAGGATAAAATGACAATAAGAAGGTCTACCCTGGAGAAGAGAACAGGGCGTGGGCCAGCTTTGTCGGACAGAGGCTGTGGAGCTGACTCTCCACTAGGGGAAATCGATGCAGCTCTACTTAACCCAGTGGAATTAATGGAGGTTTTGGTCATCCGTGTTGAAATCTAAAGGCAAATAAATGCAATGACCTCTCTGCTGGTGCAGCTGATGTAAGTTACTGGGATAATTTGCACTCAGACTCTCTCTGGTCCTTTAGATCGATCCAAGTAAGTGCAAATTGATCCAAGTGAGTTCAAATGGCCTGCCAGCACTTCATTTGTATTTATATAATGCTTCTGCCTCACTAATCAGAGGTTTAACTTTGCCATGGTTGCTCGTAAAAATCGTGTTTTCTCCAGTCATAGATGAGGAATGGCAAAAGACTCAATGCGTGCCAAGGGAAACCTGCGTGGAAGTCGCCAAAGAGTTGGGTACAACAACCAACAAATTCTTCAAGCCTCCCTGTGTGAACGTGTTCAGATGTGGAGGCTGCTGCAATGAGGAGAGTCTGAGCTGCATGAATACAAGTACAACTTATGTGTCGAAAACGGTAAATGAGGCTATTAATCTGCTTTCTTTTTACCCAGCTTTCCAAGAAGGGAGGGGAAGGAGGATGTTTGGTTTGTGAGATCCTGTTATGAAAGATCTGTCTGCATTATCATAGCAAACAAGAATTATTTTTTTATCCATGTGGAGTGAATGCAGGCCTGTGCAATAACATTTTACATTCATGTTGCATTATTAAAAATGGATATATATGTATAAAGATGGAAAATCAGGTCCTGAGAAAGTGACTGCAGGCTCACGTGATGTTAAGGAGTTTAATTCTTCTTTAATATGTTGTTACTTGGACATGGGACTTCTTGAGGGTATAGGCTCATGGGAATACTCTGCACCAAAGGATTAAGAGAGACTCCGTGAAATTTTGCTGTGTGAGGCCAGGAGTCTGAGAGCTACATTTTCAAAATCGTTGTCAGTGCCAAAAAGGCTGGCTAATAATTTTGTGTGTGCAATTTTGCGAGCCTAAAAAGGGGACATTTTCAACAGGAGAGGACAGATGTTCTCAATTTGAATGCCTTAGGATCTGAATGTGCCGAATTACAAGTCACTTTTGAAAAAGAAAGGCTTAAGCCAGTAGTCAATTACTGCTTAGGTGCAACAGGTGACAAATACCTGACTCTTAATGACCAGTGACAAAATCTGAGCAGAGAGTAGCCAGAGAGCTTCTTTCAGGAGACTCCCTTTAGTGTCTCTGTACAGATACACCTTCCTCCAGTGGGTGACTGGGAGCAGAGCTCCAAGTTTAGTACTTTCCATCAGCTCTACAGATGAAACCATTTGTGTTCATACCTACAAAAGGAGCACAGAAGGCTTGTCCTCCTAGATTAACCTACATCTTGTGCATCCCTGCTTATAGTTGATAAAACCTTTTGACCTGAAGTAATGTATTAAATTCGAGTTACTAAAAGGCTTTTCTTTAGATCAGACCAAAGACTGAGGGCATTTTTTTAAAAAAGAAAATGAAAATCCTCATGGGGAGCAGGCCCGATTCACTTCTGTATTTGTTTCAAGTTTGTCAGAGTGTTATTCCACTGTGTCTGGTTGTACTGGAATACAGTTAGAATAAAATAAACCAGGGCCCATCCTTCTTGCGTCAATGTTCATTAATTGCTTTCATTCCACACCAGAAGAAGAAAGCTGTTATGAGCTGTTGGCCACACACAAAAGACATCCGATAAGCTCAGGGAGCTAGGTCAGGCTAAAAAGTATTTATTTATTTATGTGTTTTTGGAGCAGCAGTTCAGAAGTTTGTTGAAAAACTGAAGTTCTGCATTCTGTCACATTCCTTTAGCGTCCTTCAAAATAACCATTCCCTCTAAAGCCCCCAGCTAAGTTCCACTCCTGGATACACCACTGTCAGTCCAGATTTACTCCTCTAAAATGAATGGGATTACTCCTGTATTAGTGAGAACATTTTTTACCTGGAATAAAATATCCACTGAAGGATATTCAATGTCACCTGAAGTTAGATGCTTCGACACCTAAATGTAAATGTCTAAACAGTCAAGTTTAGGAATATTTCCCAGCCCTTGAATGTGGATGCAGCATTAAGCCAAGACATGCTGGCATGCAAAGACGTACCCTATGCTTTGGTTTCCATGGGAAGGAAGATGGCTTGGCGGGGGTGGAGAGGGTATGAGTCCCTTCAACAGCTCCCACACATAGCTGCCCAGTGATCCAGGGCTCTCACAAGGCTACTCAGAGATCACTGTAAACAATTTGGATGCACTGAAGGTAGGCTTCTTGGTTCCTTAGGCTCCTGCTATAGTCAACAGAGAGATGTTTCCAGGATAATTGCCTGCAGGAACCCAGCTGAAGCAGAATGAGCTCTCCTCTCCCTATTCCTGTTTCCTCCCTCTCTGAGGAGGCTGTGGGGGTTGTGAAGCCCCTCAAGATGCATTCTGTGATTATACCCTAACACAGTTAAATAGCTGTCTCCATAAGTGGTTGAGATTCAACAGATGATATAACTGAGAACAAAGTTCCCAACATGTCTATCTTTTCCATTTGGCCCTAGCATTCAGAAGGGGTTTTTGAGTGTGTTTGCAAATAATTTTGAATGGTCTTTGGTGCTTAATAGCTGGTAAAACAGCACTAGGACCATCATTTTGTCCAGTTCCTACCTTGGTGGACATTGCTTATTCATCTCTTCAAAACCCTTAGTACTCACCTGCTCATTTATACCTATGCTAACTATCTGTAGAAAAGAGCAAGGGTGGGGCAAATAGTAGGAAAATATAAGAGGTTTTGATTTAAAACTCCAAATATTAACTTTACAATGGAAACTGAAAAATAAATGTTATTTCACCCACCTAGCTCTTTGAGATCTCAGTTCCCTTGACAAGTGTTCCTGAGCCTGTACCAATCAAAATTGCCAATCACACAGGCTGTAAGTGTCTATCAAATACCCAGCGCCACCAGTATGCCATCATACGAAGATCTGTCCAGTACCCAGAAGAAGACGGGTAAGTAAGTTCTCTCTTTCACAAACTGCTTTTTGTTGTGCAGTGTGAAGTAGGAAAAGTATTTTGTTCTCATTTGGTCATTATCATGGTCCCTTAACTTTCTGCTATGCCAACAGTTTTTCCAAATACCTTGATTATCACTCAGGGTTAGAAAGCTTCAACTAAACCTGGTGAATTATAAGTGAATGGACATCAAAATCCAACAAACAGCAGGCTAGTTTTGCAGGATCTGGAGACACTAAGACATTGAGCATGCACGCAAAGTGCACATATTAGCACTATGCCCCACTGGTGCTATTTGGGTAGGTGTGCATGGACTTTTTCAACCTGACATGAACAACTTTTCTCATGTGTTATTTAGCCAGGGCACACAGAGTGCTGTGGTCAAGCTAAAGTCCTCTGCCATATCTCACAACACATTGGGTCAGAATCAGTGTGAACCATGGTTTTGCACTTTCTGGTCCAGTCCCAGTTTGCATCTGTCAGGCTCACTGGCTGGAAAAAGTGATCTCATATCTAACTTCAAAATACAGTACAAAATGCCTGTAATCCTGGTGAGAACGGGCTACACTATTTTAACAAACTCTAGAAACACAGATAGCTTGAGTGATTCATTGGAAGTCAGCTTAGATGTCTCTGTCTAGCCCTGCATGTAGGCTTGCTCCTATAACTGCTCTTCAGTTAGACATCATGGCTGGAGGAGAGGTGGCACTTCAGCAAAGCCACTCCAGCCCTCATCCAGCCTGCTGGCCACTCTGAATCCCCTCCCTACGCAACTACAGAACTTCAGCCTTCTTCGAGTTTTTGAGTTCCTCTCCCAGAACCAGGTGCCTAAACGTCAAATTGCCCCCCTCCCCGACTCTGAAAACAGTGCACTGTACATCCCTAAGCATGGGCAGATTTGATCTGGAGCTGCACTTTCTAGCAGCATGGCAAAGTTGAATACAGTTATGCGGCATGAATGCTGTAAGACAGAGACTACTCTGGGTGGAGTAGAGCTGTTTTATGGAGAAGTGGAGCTGGGAAACTGTAGCTGTTTCCTAAGGATGTGATCTGAAATACATGCTGTCCCAGCTCCTACTAGTTGCTGGGAGCCAGACAGCTCAGTCCTATCAGCAAAACCATCCAGTCCCAAGGTTTTCTGTTTGCAGCAGTAATGCACACAGATGTCATACCTTCATGCAGTACATGTGGCAGACCCAGCATACCAGCAGGCTCATTTTGCCAAATGACTACACTGATGCTCCTCATTTTGTTTTTAATTCCAATCTTTTTTTTTTTTTTTTCCTTCTAGATGCCCTTTTACCAACAAATTTTGCCATAATGGGTGGATCTGGGATAGTGACAAATGCGAATGTGTTTTAGATGTACAGCACCCCAACAGACGAGAAGGTAAAGATGAAATTATAAATGGGCACTTTTGCTTACTATCTCCAGGCTGCTCGTGTTTCATTTTGGTTTTGTCCCATTTTTTCACTGAGAGAGTTATAGTTTTGATTCCACATCCCTAGGTAGACTTGGCTTATAGTGTAGAAACTCACCTGAAAATAAACACTTGTGTGTGCTTATTCCCATCTCAGGTTTTTTGCTTGGACAAATTAGTCCCTCCATATTAGCAACCTGAACAGGAAATAGGAAACTATTAAAAAGAGTTAGTGAAGTAGGCAGCCTGGATAAATTTTTATTTTACATGGGCCTTAAAGTGTATGATGGGTATTACAGAAAACTTTTTAACTGTATAAAAACCTATGCCCTGGAATATTGCGTGGGGAAGGTGCTGAATCTTTACTGTGGGAAATTCTTAAGAACAGATTGAATCAGGAATAAGATAGGCAAAATCAGTCCTGCCTATTAGCTGTAGACAGCGCAAAAGATTATATGATCTTTCAAAGTATTTGACTACATTTTATTATAATATTAAGGTATTTAGGAAGCTTCCAAACTGGTATGTCATACTCAGGAGTACGTCATATACACCTTCAGGTCTGTGGAAGGAAATAGAAGAGAGTAAAACTCGTAGAAGTGTACACTACTTTCCTTCTCCCTCTGCTTTTCCTGGAAAACATTAATTTGTCAAGAAATTCGCAGGAAATATTCTGGGGGGTAACTGTTTAAGTCTAAAGATACTTACTAGCAGTAAACATTAAGAGAAGTTAAAATTCCACCATGCCCTGTATAAGGTTTTTAAAAAATTGTTTTTCTCAGGAAACTGTACGGGTCCAAATAAAATTATCGTTATTGTAAGAAGGACATGGGGTGGGCTAGGAAAAGACAAGTAATGAATAATTGGCTGAGAGACTGGTGTCGAGACAGGAACTTTGGGTTCTTTGACCATGGGGCGGTTTACTCAGCCCCTGGCCTTTTGTTGAGGGATGGAACTCGTTCGTCTCATAGGGGGAAATGAATCCTAGCGC